GTTTCACGGAGGGCAAATCATAAGCTATCTTTTCGCTATTTTGGACCCTATCAAGTGTTGGCCAAGGTTGGCAAGGTAGCTTATCATCTTCAACTTCCTAGTGACAGTTCTATACATCCTGTCTTTCACGTTTCTCAACTGAAATCTGCTGCTGGGTTCTCCAAAGTGGTGCAGCCTCAACTTCCTGAAATGGGTCAACTTAAGGTCCCTGAAGTTATTCTGAACACTCGTCAGGTTCAACGGGGTAAGTCATTAATACCTCAAGTTTTAGTTTGTTGGTCTGGAGATGTTGCAGGGCAGGAGACTTGGGAAGATCTTGTTGATTTGCGTCAGCGCTTTCCAGCAGCGTTGGCTTGGGGACAAGCCCAATCTCAAGGAGAGGGGATTGTCAGGAACCTGACGTTGCTGGGTGAGCTACAGGAAGCTGACAACTCGAGGGAGGAAGAACAGACTTATGCTGGAAGAGGAGCAAGAGTCCGTAAGTGTAACACGCGTGTGTGGGCCGGATTGGACCAAATGAGTACCGGCCGAGCCCACGAGTAAGTCTGGAGTAAGAGAGAGAGTTGAATTGTAATAAGAACATAGCACGTTGACTTTCTTTCGTATCGATGAAGTAAGAACTGGAGGCGAAGGCGGCGGCGGCACCAATTCTTCTGGATTCGGTGAAACTATCTCGTTTCTTGCCTGTTCTTACTAGTTCTTGAGTAGTTGAGTTAGGGTTCTAACACAACGCAAAGAAACTAGCACATTAAATCCCACATTGATGGGACCAAAACTGATGTTGTTGGGTGGAGGCGACGCTATAGCTCATGGTCTTGGATGCAGGTCTTCTACAGTACTGCATATATTGCTCACTGACATGTGGATCCCACAGCCACTTGGGCCCACATATCAGTGAGCAGTACTGTACATGCAGTACTGCAGGGGATCTCAATTGCATGGTTTTGGGTAGAGTGTGAGTGACAAAGTTGCTCGACTTCAATAGGAGGCGGTGGCATCCTCATCACGGCTACTCTTGTAGGTGGAGGCGTCGGAAGACGGAGCAGCGGTGGACAATGGTGCCTCCAGTGCAGGGGTGGAACCAGACAGGACTAACAGAAAGGACTGAACAAAGTATATAAAACTATAGCTCCTTCTTCTAATAAATATATGATAGAAAATTTTAGTGAAAACTTAATGGGGCTTCCATGGTTATAACGCTGATAGCAAAGGCTCGCGTCCCCGTCGTCCCCATGGCAGATCCGCCACTGCCTCCATGTTAATTAGACCGCAGCAGAGACTCCTGCATTGTTGAGATGGAGCAACAGGGTGGAGGGAAGGGCAAGGACATGGTTGGCCTTGATGATGGAGCTTGATCTATTATCCGCCGCTTGGATCATGTAACTTCAAATGAGGTACTACTGATATATATATATATATATATATATATATATATATATATATATATATATATATATATATATATATATATAAGCAATCTCAGGTTGTCTTGATAAAAATGTTCTGCCGGGCTGAATAATTGGTTATATTTGAGCTTACCCAAAAAAAATTATCCTTTATACAAATGAAATAAAGTAGCTCAGCTTCATTTAGACGACGGGATTAGTACGATACCGTAGGGTAGTTCGACTACGCTTTGCTTTTATTTTTTTCCCCTCGTGACCTTTTGTGTGTGTGAAGCGGTATAGGAGAGGAAGAGGAGCAATAGGGGACATCGGTGCTCCAGTGGATGGAAGGCCTCGATGGCAGTAGCAGAGGATGTTTGCAGGCATGGATCACATGAGTAGGGTGGCAGCCGGCAAAGGGAGTAAGGGAGACGCCTCGAATGGCGACGGAAAGAGCTCAGCTCCAGCAGCAAATAGTATAGTGGTGGTAGCCTGTGGCAATGGCTATAAGAGAGGGGAGATGGGGAAATTGGATTCAGTGGGTTGTGGCGGTGATGCGATGAGAGGAGGGAAGAGGGGTACTAGCAGAGGAGATCAGCCGATGAGAAGGATTGGTTGGACATGGCAGAGAGAGGAGAGCTCGAAGAGCTTGATGCACAGTGGGGAGAGGGGATGTGATGATGACGAACCGCAGCGACAATGGTGCCACAGGGAAGGAGCGAGACGTTTGCTCGGTCGGCTAGGCCAAGCGCTAACATGTGGGGCCCACGTGGGTCCCACTTGCCACATCAGTGAAAAATGATCATTACACTGTCGACAGACCAAAGTTAACACGGTATTATGAATTAGTGTATGGGCTATACCTAGTATTTCAGTGCATGGACGAATTTCAGACTCAGATGACAAATTAAGGGACCTAAAGTGAACTTATTCCTACAAAATTATAACTTCCAAATGAATACTTAAAAGCTTATTATTATTATTATGGCGTGGATGCACATGGATACTTATCATTATACACGTGACGACATATATATAACATATGCACACATCCATAAATATACTCCCAACACACACGAATAGGCGGAGAACAACAATACGTCTCTAATCTTACTAAAATACGTGTGTACTCCCTATAAATTTTAATGTATAACGCCATTGACCTTTTGACCAATGTTTGACCATTCGTCTTATTCAAATTTTTTGTGTAAATATAAAAATATTTATGTTATGCTTAAAGAACATTTGATGATAAATCAAGTCACAATAAAATAAATGATAATTACATAAATTTTTTAAATAAGACGAAATGTCAAACGTTTATCAAAAAGTTAACGACGTCAAACATTAAAATATGGAGGGGATAATATTTAACACCATGTGATAAATAGTTGAGACAAAATATACTTTATACGATTATTACTCAAGTAAATCAGTGCAGAGACCGCCAGACTGGTAAAAAGTGGTGACAGTAATAGATTAATAGTACTTCTAGAAGAAACCGCGATACTTAAATATGAGATCTGAGCAATTAGGGTGTGTTTGGTTGCCCATATTCCCCTAGCCTGGCTCATTTCTCGCATCCAGGCTGAGTTTGACCTGGCTAAGAGTATACATATGCAGTTGTTTGGTTGGTTGCATTGGTCTAGCCAGGCTAGCATGAGATTTTGTTTGGTTACTTGTATAAGAGATACGGTTTGAAAGGGATTTTGTTTGGTTGGTTGCATGGATGTGAGTGTTCTTTACCTCTTCATTTAGTTGGGTGAGGTTACCTCTACAATATATATAACAAATAATAAGAGTATTTTGATTTATCCAATTGAATATTCACTTACATATGCGAATGATACTGCAAAATCACTCTATTATCTACATAAAATAAGTCGGCCAACTTTTCACACCGAATCAGTGGTACGAAAAATAAGAAAAAGGTTATCTATTATATTATTAAAGGAATAGAAAAATGAGCCTCCACGTTCGCTCTCATGGCCTAGAAATTCTCACATTAATCGGAGAAAAAGAAAAAGCAGAGTCCATGTAGAAATACAATTTAGAAAATAGCTGAAATTTGGAATTAAAAAAAATAAGAAATATTAGAAGAGGAGACTAGAGTCCATATAGAAATACAATTTAGAAATAGTTGAAATTCGGAATTAAAAAATAAGGAATATTAGAAGAGGAGACTAGAGTCCATATAGAAATACAATTTAGAAATAGTTAAAATTCGGAATTAAAAAATAAGGAATATTAGAAGAGAAGACTAGAGTCCATATAGAAAAACAATTAGGAAATAACTGAAATTCGGAATTAAAAAAATAAGAAATATTAGAAGTAGAGTATAGAGATACAATTTACAAAAAATTCGGAATTAAAAAAAAGAATTATTAAAAGACGAGTCTAGAGTAGGAATATATATAATTTACAAATAACTAAAACTCGATATTAAAAATAATTAATAACTAACACGTATATAAAATACCATATGAATATTACACATTTGTAGTTTCGTAAAGTTATTGTAAAATTTAAAATTATGATGTTATTTTAATATATTTGAATAATATAATAAGAAAACATATATGCTATTATATGAGAGAAAATATAATGATGCTAGCGCGCAATCTGTGCATGCCACTATGCTAGGTTTTCTTTAAGCTAGATGAACCGGTGGAACTAATTAATCTATTAGTAGTAATTCTGCATACATTGACTTCTCTGTTGCTGGAGTACTTGCTAGTGAGAAACGAAAGAAAAAGAAAACAGAAAACCCGGGGAGAAAAAAGAAACGAAAGAGAGAAAGGAAGGGGATCGGCGTTGCAGCCGTCGCTTCGTCGTCATCAACTCCCGTCCGCCCGCAGCCGCATGCATGCCCACCTGCCCGCCGCTCGCCGTTCCTCCACCCATCTTCCTGCGCTCCTCTCCATCCGCCGCTTGCCGCTCCTCTGCTCCAGATCTGACCGGCACAGAAGAAGGTGGGATACGACGGTGGCCGACGATTGAAGATGGGATACGATGGGAAGAGGAGGGATGCGGCAGCAAGGTGGATCCGCCGTCCTCGTCGCCGCGACCTCCGCTGAGCTCGTCACCGTCAAGCTTTTTGCCGCCTCACCACTAGTTGGATCTGGCAGTGCTCACACCATCAGCGGGGACGTGTGGGCAAGGCGGTGGCCGGATATTGAAGGTGGGAGACGGTGGGAAGAGGAGGGGGATGCAGCAGCAAGTTGGATTCGTCGGGCGCCACTCCCTCTAGCAGAGCTCGTCTTCGCCATGTCGATTGCTGGGGGAAAATGAGGAGGAGCAAGGGGCGGAGTGGTGACCCCATCGCTTGCCCTTGCACACGCGGGTGCGGGGCGCTGCATGCGCGGATGCAGCGCGTTGCATCGTGCGGGCCTGGCCGAGCAGCGAAGCTCAACTTGAGCGTTTCTGCTCAGCCTGGCTGTGGGGGATTTTTTGCATCCGCTCGACCAGGCTGGGAGCGAGCTGCAGGCAACCAAACAGCGACCTACTGCATCCACGCGTGCGAGCCAGGTTTCATGCATGCAACCAAACACACCCTTAATCTCTCCCTCCATGCATCACAGTCACACACACCGCGAGCTCCGAGCTCCGTGCTCCATGGATCCGTCACCTCGGCCGTCGCCGCACGTCGTCCTCGTAGCCAGCCCATGCGCCGGCCACGTCATGCCCATGGCCGAGCTGGCGCGGCGCCTCGTCGCGTTCCACGGCTGCGCCGCCACGCTCGTCACGTTCTCCGGCCTCGCCGCGTCCCTGGACGCGCACTCCGCCGCGGTGCTCGCGTCCCTCCCGGCGTCCTCCGTCGCCGCCGTCACCCTCCCGGAGGTCACGCTCGACGACGTCCCCGCCGACGCCAACTTCGGTACCCTGATCTTCGAGCTCGTCCGCCGCTCGCTGCCGAACCTCCGGCAGTTTCTGCGCTCCATCGGCGGCGGCGTCGCGGCGCTAGTGTCGGACTTCTTCTGCGGCGTGGTGCTCGACCTCGCCGTGGAGCTCGGCGTCCCCGGCTACGTCTTCGTCCCCTCTAATACTGCGTCGTTGGCATTCATGCGCCGCTTCGTCGAGGTCCACGACGGCGCGGCCCCCGGCGAGTACCGTGACCTCCCGGACCCCCTCCGTCTCGCTGGGGACGTGACGATCCGCGTCGCCGACATGCCGGACGGATACCTCGACAGGTCCAACCCCGTGTTTTGGCAGCTCCTCGAAGAGGTGCGGCGATACCGGCGAGCAGATGGATTCTTGGTGAACAGCTTCGCCGAGATGGAGTCAACCATCGTGGAAGAATTCAAGACGGCGGCGGAGCAAGGCGCGTTCCCGCCGGTGTACCCGGTGGGGCCGTTCGTCCGGCCATGCTCCGACGAGGCCGGCGAGTTGGCGTGCTTGGAGTGGCTGGATCGCCAGCCGGCAGGGTCGGTAGTGTTCGTCTCCTTCGGGAGCGCCGGCATGCTGTCCGTTGAGCAGACGCGCGAGCTCGCCGCCGGGCTGGAGATGAGCGGCCACGGATTCCTCTGGGTCGTGCGCATGCCGAGCCACGACGGCGAGTCCTACGACTTCGCAACGGACCACCGCAACGACGACGAGGAAGACCGCGACGGCGGCGGCCATGACGATGACCCGCTGGCGTGGCTTCCCGACGGGTTCTTGGAGAGGACGAGCGGCCGGGGCCTCGCCGTCGCGTCGTGGGCGCCGCAGGTGCGCGTGCTGTCGCACCCGGCGACGGCGGCGTTCGTGTCGCACTGCGGGTGGAACTCGGCGCTGGAGAGCGTGTCCGCCGGCGTGCCGATGGTGCCGTGGCCGCTGTACGCGGAGCAGAAGGTGAACGCGGTCATCCTGACGGAGGTGGCCGGGGTTGCGCTACGCCCGGCGGCGGCGCGCGGCGGCGTCGACGGGGTGGTGACACGAGAGGAGGTCGCGGCGGCGGTGGAGGAGCTCATGGATCCAGGCGAGAAGGGGAGCGCTGCGCGTCGCCGGGCGAGGGAGATGCAGGCGGCGGCGGCGAGGGCGCGGTCACCAGGCGGGGCGTCGCACCGCGAGCTCGACGAGGTGGCCGGCAAGTGGAAGCAGACAAACCGTGCTCCATACGAATAATGCTGTTTAGTTTGGCAAATTTCGTTGTTCGTAAACGAATTCGGCTCAAATTTGGTTGGTGATCACTACTGACTTTTGGTGATCACTGCATTGCTATCTCGAAAGGAAACCTCAAATGCTTCATTTCTCTCTTCTTTTTTTTTTTTGAATGGAAATGCTTCATTTCTTTTGGAATCTGATCCCATCGTCCTGAACACAGATTAAAGAATTGTAAGCATATTTCATGTAAGCTGATTCTCCTGCCCCTATACCTAGTTTATGTACGTACCCAAACTTGCACAACATACAAAACTGTTTGCTGGTGTTATGCGTGCAACTTTCTTTCATCGCCTAGGGTGTAAAAACTTTAAAGTATACGGACACACATTTAAGGTATTAAACATATACTAATAACAGAATAAATTACAGATTCTGACTATAAATTATGAGATGAATTTATTAAGCCTAATTAATCTGTCATTAGCAAATATTTACTGTAAGCATCATATTGTCAAATCATGGTGTAATTAATTAGGCTCAAAAGATTCATCTCGCAATTTACATGCAAACTGTGTAATTGGTTTTTTCCCCACATTTAATGCTCTATACATGTGTTCAAACAATTGATGTGACGTTTTCGGCCAAAATTTTTTGGGATCTAAACAAGGCCCTAGGCCATGTTTTTTTTCTCCTAGTAGTACGTGCACATGGATTTATAGATTTTGTACAGTCTAGTTCATATTCTATTTTTCTTAGGTTTAGATTCAGGCCGTGTTTAGATCCAGCGGTAAAAAGTTTTGACGTGCCACATTAGATATACGGAGACACAATTAAAGTATTAAACGTAGACTAATAACAAAATAAATTACAGATTCCGTCTATAAACCACAAGACGAATTTATTAAACCTAATTAATCTGTCACTAGCAAATGTTTACTATCACTACTACACAAAACATTTTCATGGACGCCGGACCTGTTTGTTTCCAGGCAGGCCATAATTGGCACTGCACGAGATAATCAGGGGACCGGCGCCAGACCGTCGCCCGCACGGAAAAACGCATTATCCCGTGCGGGCCACTTTACTCAACCGCACACGAAAATGTCGTGCTGGCCTCTTTACTCACCCCGCACGCGAAAACAATCCTCATGCCAACTTGCTACACGACTGCCACTTTAACTCTCCCACTCATTCTCTCCTCCCACTCCACTCCTTCTCTCCTCCCGGCCTCTCATCCTCTCCTCACAGCAGCGACAGCGGCGGCGTGCGGTCCCTCCCTCCCTCTCCCTTCGGCTCCCTTCCCCTCTCCTCCCTCCGCTTGCAGATCCGGCGAAGGGAAGGCATGGGGACGGCGGATCCGGCGGCAGGCGCAGGTGGAGGCGGCAGGTGACGACGGCGCCTCGCGGTCCCTCCCTCCCTCTCCCTTCGGCTCCCCTCCCTCCCCTTGCAAATCCGGCTGAGGGGAGGCATGGGGGCGGCAGATCTGGCGGCGGGTGACAACAGTGGCGCGCGGCCCCTCCCTCCCTCTCCCTTCGGCTCCCCTCCCTCCCCTTGCAGATCCGGTGGAGGGGAGGCATGGGGGCGGCGGATCCGGCGGTCGGCGTAGGTGGAGGTGACAGCGGCGGCGGCAGGCGACGACGGCGGTGCAGAAAGAGAGGGAGACGCCGATGAGGGAGGGGGTGGGGAGGCCGGCGAGCTTTCTCGACCTTCTCGGTGGATAGAGTAGGCCGGCGGAGCTCACCCGCCGCTGCTTCACTCCTCCTGCAGCCACCTCCGCTGTTGCTGCCCCCTCCACCGCTCACCGCCAGCTCCGCTCTACTGGCTTTCTCCGCCCTATGCCGCTGCGCCCTATGCCGCTAGTAGCCTCCCAAGTTTACTAAAGAAGAGAAGAGAAGAAAGGATAAGAGAAGAAAGAAAAGAGAAAAGAAGATTTGCTGACCCCACATTTTTCCTTCTCACTTATATGTGGGCTCCATAACTTTTTTTTCTGACTAGGATGCCACATCAGCGTAGCCAGATATCCATACTGCTATAGGACCCAAATTGCATGGTTTTGTATAGTTTAGGGGGTGAAGATTTCTAGTATTGGGGATTAGGGATGTCATGCGAACTTGATGTAAAGTTGAGGGACGGCTGGTGAACTTATTCCAAAGAAGGCCTAGGAGGGAGGGAAGAGAAGAGGACTTCGATGGCGGGCCAAAAGTGAAAGAGAGAGCTTTGGGCAGGATTCGCCCCAAAAAGATGGAGATGATTAATTTTAGTTTTATCATTTTAATTAACCCTGAAATTGGTTGTTGTTGATTTAAAATTATAGGTTGCTCTGAAAATTTCAGTAAAAATTGAGGGACCAATTTAGAGCATGGAGAATTTAAGAAAAATACACCAAGCCACTTTGAATTTTTGGATGTATTTTAGTATTTGAAATTTATTTGAGACTTTTATTAATTTCTATTATTCCTTTTAGAAAGTGACTTTTAATTTGGGATGGATCTATCAGGTGTGACATAACGATAAGAGAGCTCCAAATTAATTTCAAGACCCAAATTAATCTCGCGTTAGATGTTTTCTTTCACCTTCGAGTAGACAAAGAGCTCTCTCTGTGTGTTCCATCTTCCTTTGGTTTTGGTTCTCCCTGAGCAGACTTGTGTCCGTTCTTCTGTTTTTGCGCTGATTCAGTTGTTCCTCGATCCTGAATACTTGCACGCATGAGTATTTGGGATAAGCATGCCTCCGGAACGCCATCCACCACCAGAGTACCTGCACTGGTAGACATGCGGTTAAGTTTGTATCATTTGTTTCAACATATAATAAGTAAAGCTAAACATATGTACTTCTAGCTTGTTGATGTGTAACATAAGCATGGTTATATACAAGCTAGTGATGTTCTCATCAGTTTGGATATTTATAAAAAACAGCAATAATGCACACGCTCACATATACACATACACTTACGTAATAATATAAATACACACACATACACTCATTAATACGAATGCACATGCGTATATACTCTAACCCATACGGTCCAATATATGCCTTATTACACATCACTCTCTAGTCTCTACTTGCATGGAAGCACGCTTTATCTACCAACCAGCTTGTTCAGTATGCCACCATATATAGATTATGGCACACATATCCTCCATAAATCATCATTTTAGTATATATTTGCTTTCTATTCTTGTATGTCATAATGTCATTCATCAAACTTGTAGCTTGACAATGTACGTATATATAGAGGGAGAGATATGAGATATGATGAATCGAATTTGAAGATGCTCGGCATACCCGGAGCATGTCTAGGCAAGCTGTTGTCCGGCCTGGACATTTCTATAATTACTAAAACTTGAAAAAAAAATCCAGGAAGATATTAGGCATTTGTCATTTTGCCCCCTATGTTCAATTTTTGTGGGTTGTTAGTTTATAAAAATATGCATAGTTTATCAAGATGGGACTGTAATCTCCAAGCTTGGGATGAGCAGCATATATATTGTGATGGTTGATAGCATATGGCTTATCTCATAATTCATGACATCACAAACTATTGGGTAAAGGCATTATAATAGGTTATAGCAACAAATATAAAATTATGCTTAGCTGTGCAAAATTATCTAATTGATGACTATTTCTAAATACACATCATGGGCAAAAAGGTGCGAAAAGTTAGTGGCAGAGTACATAAATTTGAAAAGAATTATAAGTAGTTCCGTACTCGACATATAACAAAACTAAAATATTCACACATTTCATCTCCGTTACTTTATGCGGTGTATAACATGAGTGTACAAGCTAGACAAAAATGACAACAAAAATACAACTTTTTTGTTGTAAAAGAAAAACAAACTTATCCCATGCAGAAACTTTATGACGCAGGCACAAATAAAGCCAAGAAGGAAAAACATCTAAAGTGTAGGGATAGAAAATTTCTGAACTAAAAGAATATGCATTTTTCTACAAAACACAATAAAAGCCTAGTATACATATAGATGTCTTGTTAACCGACTTTGTGTATATATACTTTTTTTTTTGCACAACTCAATACACTTTATAGGATGTCTATTGTTTATACTCCAAGTAACTTTGTAACTGCCTTACATTCCAAGCGGCTTTTTCTTGGCTATAAAAGGGACCTCATGTCTTGGGAAATCACATCAGTTGAGTTTCCATTATCCTTTCAATAAATAGCCATGGCAACTATTGCATTCTCTCGATTTTCTATATGCTTTTGTGTCCTTCTCCTTTGCCATGGTTCTATGGCTCAGATATTTAGTCTAGGCATAAATCCATGGCAAAATCCTCGACAAGGGGGTTCTAGGGAGTGTAGGTTTGATAGGCTCCAAGCGTTTGAGCCGCTTAGGAAAGTGAGGCATGAAGCTGGGGTTACAGAGTACTTTGATGAGAAGAATGAGCAGTTCCAGTGCACCGGTACATTAGTAATTCGTCGCATTATTGAGCCTCAGGGCCTTCTTTTACCTCGATACTCCAACACTCCTGGCCTAGTATATATCATCCAAGGTTCGTGTGACTTTCTTGTTAGTAAAAACTTTATTGATAGTGTATGTTTGGTAGCTGTATCTATAATCTATCTATTAAGACATAAACATATACATTTGGGGCTCAGTAAATTTGATGTGTGCATCCTCTTTTGCAGGGACTGGTGTACTGGGATTGACCTTTCCTGGTTGCCCAGCAACTTACCAAAAGCAATTTAGGCATTTTGGTCTTGAAGGAGGAAGCCAAAGGCAAGGAAAAAAATTAAGAGATGAAAACCAAAAGATCCACCAATTTAGGCAAGGAGATGTTGTTGCACTTCCTTCTGGTATACCACACTGGTTCTATAATGAGGGTGACACCCCTGTTGTTGCTTTGTTTGTTTTTGATGTAAACAACAATGCTAATCAACTCGAACCAAGACAAAAGGTACTATTATCTAAACTAATATATCCAATCTAGCTAGCAGATGTTACGTATTTTATCCCCTATTGGTTTGCATTAAATTCAATATGCTGAACAATTTATTTTGTGCAAAAATTTAGGAGTTCTTGTTAGCTGGTAACAATATAGAGCAACAAGTGTCCAACCCCTCAATCAACAAACATTCTGGGCAAAACATATTCAATGGATTCAACACTAAGCTATTAAGTGAGGCCTTAGGCGTTAACATAGAGGTGACCAGAAGGCTACAAAGTCAAAATGACCGAAGAGGAGATATCATTCGAGTAAAGAATGGCCTTCGATTGATAAAACCAACTATCACACAACAACAGGAACAAACACAAGATCAATACCAACAAATTCAATATCATAGAGAGCAACGATCAACAAGCAAATACAATGGCTTGGATGAGAACTTCTGTGCAATTAGGGCAAGGTTAAACATAGAAAACCCTAATCATGCTGATACTTACAACCCTCGTGCTGGAAGGATTACAAATCTCAATAGCCAGAAGTTCTCCATTCTTAACCTTGTCCAAATGAGTGCTACAAGAGTAAATCTATACCAGGTATATATTTACAATATTAGTATTCTTCTAACATTCATAATCCGATTAACATCATAATTAAATTTCATATAACCTTGTTCTTTACACTTGTTGCAGAATGCTATTCTCTCACCATTCTGGAATATTAATGCTCACAGTTTGGTGTATACAATTCAAGGGCGTGCTCGAGTTCAGGTTGTTAGCAACCATGGAAAGGCTGTATTTAATGGTGTTCTTCGTCCAGGGCAATTACTAATTATACCACAAAATTATGTGGTTATGAAGAAAGCAGAGCTTGAAGGATTTCAATTTATCGCGTTTAAGACAAACCCAAATGCCATGGTAAACCACATCGCGGGGAAGAACTCAGTTCTCCGTGCAATGCCTGTGGATGTGATAGCTAATGCATATCGCATCTCAAGGCAGGAAGCTCGTAGCTTGAAGAATAATAGGGGAGAAGAGATTGGTGCTTTCACTCCTAGATATCAACAACAAAAAATCCACCAAGAGTACTCAAATCCAAACGAAAGTGAGACTCAAGAGGTGATTTAAACCCAAGGCATTATATACTAAAAAATAAAGCCACATGCATAAAGCTTTGTGGAGTTTTGTATTTTGTCGTATGTGTAAGTTAAATAAAAAAAGAATTGCCTTCATTTAATCGATTTGTGCACTTACTCCCTTTATATCCCATCTTATTTTTTTCTTTAGTAAATTAAATTACTCTTGCCTCTCTAAGGCGCCTTTGTTTTTAGCAAAAATCAACATTTAAAAATTGACTACTAATTTAACTAAAATATATATGTGTTACGTGTTATATACTCTCATACATGTACCTTATATTCGTGTTTTAAAGTAATTTTATATGATACTAATTAAGTGGTTATTGACAACATATTAACAAAAGGTCAATGATAAAAAGATAGTGTCGGAGACTATGTCAAAAAGTTAAAATTGCCTTATATTGTATTTTAGAACGGAAAAGACGTAATTTGCATACTTGCGTTCCATCACTGCCTCACGGCAAACAGTGTCGTGGCACCAAGTTTCTCGTTGATCATCAGTAATTTACTGGGTCATATATTGATCAGACAAGACTACAAGTGCGCAAGAGCATACGAGGAAGGGAGAGGAGCGGATCATGTCATGTGCGATGCCAACAAACCCCGGCTAGTTCGATCTTTTCACTTCTCAAGTCAGTTTCACTGCACCACGGACCCAGGGCCTGTTTGGATGTTGCCCTAAAGAGAATTTGCCTGGGTTGAGAGTAGCCTGACTCATTTTACTTCTTGTTTGGTTACTACCCTGAGACCGAAATCGGTCGCCTGAGCTCCAGGCGTAGCACTGTTGGTGGATTACAATGTAATCTCTCTCAGCTACACGAAAGTCACTGCCGTATGAAGCTCCCACCGTCGCACAAAGCTGGCTCGCGTGGATCCCGGGCACCGCGGCTGTTGTCGTTGCTGTTCCGCCCATCCGGCGAAGCCCTTGCCGCCGTCGCCGTCGTCGTGCGATGCTACCGCCCCTTCAGATCTAGCTTCCCGCAAAGCTTCCGGCGAGGCTGTCAAATCCCATCGTTTGCTGTGGCCTACCGAGGCTGCCGATTGTTTGGTTCATGAAGAAAGCTGCAGACTTGTTGATTGAAGCTCACTGCTAAAAAGGATCAATAAAGATCTAATTTGCTATAGGTTGTAACGCTCCGTTTTTCGTGAGACGTTAAAAACTAATTCGGAAAAATCCTATATGCAAAAATTCCGTTCTCTGTGTGAGAGTCTAAGTCGTGCCGTGGATCTCAATTCAAATCCGTCCTTGTTCCCTGTCATCGCCATAAAAAATCCTCCACCTCAAGATTTCAACTTCCAAAATCAAACACCGGAATTCAATCCCGTCCTTGAATTCCTTGCCAATATTTCTCCCGATTCCGAGAATGTCAAATCCGTCCTTGAATCCCTCCCTGTCCATCGATTGATCTATCCACTTATCTAACCTATCAATCCATCTATCCATCCACCTTTCTGTCTACCTATCGATCTACCTACCCAGCTGTCTATCTATCTATTGATCTATCTAACTACCTTTGAATCCTTGCCAAATATTCGCCCCGACTCCAAAAATAACCAAATTCAAATTTTGAATTCGAATCCAAACCCTAACCTCAACCATTCAATCCCTCTGAAAAAGTCTATTTTGCCTCCCTCTGCTTTTGTGGGCCGAATTCCTCTCCCTCGGCCCATCCCTCTCTCAGTCCGTTCCCCCCCGCACGTGATTCTCCCCGAGAGCGCCCCTCTCTCCCTTCTTCCTCTCTCCCTCTCTCTCCCTCTCGATTTTTTTCTCTCCTTCTCAGCGTCGCTTCCCGCCGACGCCGCCACTCAAATCCCCACCGCCTCCACCGTTTCCCGCGCGTGCATGCCCTTGTGGCGGTCGTCGCCCGGTTGCCGCCGCCGTCAACCCTGCCACGCATGCGCCGTGCTGCCGCCGACCCCCACCGTCCTGCTACCGCTGTCGCACCACGCCGCGTGCTTCCAAAACCGAGAGGCAGAGCGCCTCTCTCACGTGCCCTCTCTCCTCCCTTTTGCTCGCCCAAATCGGCAAGGAGCAGAGCTCCCTTTTCCCCTTCTTTTCCACTTTGACCATGCCGCGCAGCTCCTTCCGTACCCGGGATTCGATTTTCGCCGTCCGATCCACTGCCTTCGCCGCCCAACGCATCCTCGTCGTCCGCTGTTCTCGCGTCGCCCATGATCGCCAGCCGAGCACCAACCAACTCACCCACGCCTCCCAAACCGACATCGCCTCCACTATAAAGCCAAGCCCCCTCTCAAATCCCTCCCGCTTCACTCTCCACCGCTGCCGCGCCATCGTTGCCGCCCGGCTGCTCGCCGCCGTCGCCGCTCCTTCTGCCGACAAGCGCGAGAAGCCGAGGCACTCTGTGGTGCCGATCGCCCCATCCTCGCGTCCCCCCTCTTCTTCCCCGGCCGCGCCGTCTTGGCGCCGTGCCGCTCCCATCGCGGCGACCGTCTCGCCACGAGCAGACAACGCCATCCGCCCCGCCTCAGCGTCGAACCCGCCGAGGACATCTCTGCCACCGGCGCGTTCCTTCCTTCCTAGTGAGCTCTGCTTCCCTTCTCCCTTGTAAACGGCATAAATTCTCTGGGCATGCTCATTTACACGGGAGATTATGGAGTTGGGTCATCGCCGTTGCTCTGTTTCCGCCGCCGGCCTTCCCACTCGCTTACGCGCCGTGCCGCCATGGCCGCCCCCCTTCCTCTCGCTCCCTCACCACCCGCCTTTTTTGCTGCCGCCGTGCGCAGTTGCGTTCCGCCGTCGGCCTCCCTCCTCTCCTTGATTCCCGTCGCCGCCACCACCCCCCGAACCTCCTCGAACCTCCTCGGCGCGCCGCCGCGGACGCCGCCTCGCCGGCCGCGCCCGCGCCGTGCCACCCATCCCGCCGTCGCATGGCCGCCGTCACCAGCCGCTGTTGCACCGCCTCTCCATCATTCGAGCCGGTGGATGGAACCGCGTCGACCCCCTCTCGCTTCCGGTATCCGCGCCTCACTCCTGTTCGCCGCCGTTCGCCGGCGCCTCTCGGCCGCCGTGAGTTGTTGGATCCCGGCCGGCCTCCCCTCCCTTTCCTCCATCCAACGTGGCAGCCACGTCGGCTTGACCCAGTCACGCCGATCCTGTCGGCCCCTCCCTCCATTTTCCCTTCCATGCTCGCGGTCCACGACAAGCCGTGCGGCAACACGTGGGCCCACCTCCTCTCCATCCACCCAGTGCACCAACCCCGAACCAACCCCACCGAACCCTAGCGCCACTACCCGCGTGCGCCCCTTCCACCATGAGCCAAGCCGCCGACATGTGGGCCCCATCCCGGGACCCGTGTGGTGGACCGCATCCACCGGACCGCTCCCTCTCTCTTCCACGCGCCCTAATGGGCTGCCTTCCCCGCACCCGCACCGGCCCAAATGGCTCGGCCGAGCCTCCTTCAACCCTCGGGCCGCGCCCTTGCCGCCCGAGAAAGTCTAATATACATCCCTCGTCCATTTCCTTTTCCAAAAATCAATTCCTTATTATTCCAAAATTCCATAAATCAATTCCTTTGGTCCCGCACGTCAGTGATTGTCAATAATATTCTTGAGAATATTATTTCTATAAATTCCATAAACTATTCCTTGCATTCCAGAAAATTTCGATAAATCATTTCCTTGTCCGGAAAATCCTATTCGAGCTTCCAAAATTCATATCTCTCAATCTGTAGCTCCGATTGACTACGTTCAACTTCCTATAATTCCGTAAAATTGAGATCTATCTAATGGCACTATTAATTAGTCTAAATAGGGTTTTTCTTTTGGTCTTTTGTTTAGGTTTTCGATTGTTTGCGTATAGTTGCGGTTACCGGATTTTCGTCGATCGCTGGTTTTCTCGAAGATTCGTGAAGCTTCGTGAAGACCTTGAGCAAGGCAAGTCACCCTTTGATAAATTACTCCTATAATTGAAAAGTCATTATTATTTTGTTTGCAACTCGCATTATTAGAATCACACACTTAACTTGCTTGGCCTCGGTTTGCGTGCCAAATCGACGGACCTACCCAGTAGTCGCACTATTTCCTGTAGGTTGTACTACCCTGATTCCTTGTCGCTCCACCCTTGTGTGGTACTTCGGTATCCGTGCTCTCTGAGCGCGTATACCTAATATCCCACATACACCGTTGATTGTCGAAAACTTGGGAAATGGGTTTGTGAAGCCTTCAAAACCCGACATGTGGTGTCGGTGTGTTCGAAAATAAAATGAATTGTGAAAACTCGCGATGCGGGGGTTGTGCCTATGTGGCACTGTCCCGTATTTGCATATAAGGACCGATTCCTGTGGGGAACTCATCGAACATAATCAAAGTGCAACCACAAGGTGGAATGGGACACCCTGGCTAAGTAACTAGTCGGTTCAGGGAAACCTCGCATGCCAATAGTTGGGAACGCCGGGGCGGGGTCGGTTGGAGCCAAACCGGGTTCCTGGTAAGGCAAGAACGAGAAGCTTGCTAACTTACCGATCGAGGTGGTTGGAGTTTGATTTGTGAAAACTAAAATGGCCTAAATTTATGTGAGGATTTGATCCTTCTATGTGGCATGAGGTATCCCTGGGTCGGCTTGGGAAAGGCTTTGTCGCGAACCTCTGACACCGGCCAGTGTCTGGAGTAAGTTCTTGTCTTGTGGGTAAAGTGTACCCCCTCTGCAGAGGTTAACTAACTGTTCGAACAGCCGTGCGCACGGTCATGAGCGGATGTGAGGTTGTTCCCGTTGCGTAGACTTGTTTGCCAGTGTTTTGTGAAAAGTTGTTGTGGTGTGGGAATCGTAACCAGAATCAGCCTATGTGGCAGATGGATGACCTGAGTGGTCAGAAACGAATCTGTGTGATTCGGGATGTCTGCGGGCATCATAGACTAGGCTTCCTGAGTGGAAGCGGATTGTTGTGCTGCTGGGCAGCTGGACTCTGGGAGTCCGAGAAAATGAAAAAAAAGGTTCTGGGAGCCGCTTAATCAAGTGAAATGGCTCTGGGAGCCGAGAAGTAATGATCCGACCCGGGTGGTCAGTACATTACCATTTGAGTTGTTGAAAAGCATCTCTTAAAGTCGAATCGAGACGCAAGTCTCTTTTCGGCCCAAACTT